GGGGCAGAGGCGAGTTCCGTGTGTTCAGGGACAGCCAGGAAGTCACAGTGGCTGGTGTCCACCAAGCAAAGGAAAAAGGAGGGAGGCCGGTGGGAAGCCCACAGGGCAGCTGCTACACCACAGTGAGGAATGTGGATCTTGTTTTACTAATGGACAGTCGGGGATGTTTTCATGGCAAGAGACGTAATCTGTCTTGAAGCTTTAAAAGATCCATCCAGGCTCACACCCGTAAACCCAGCACTTTGGAAGGCCGAGGCAGGAGAATCCTTTGAGACCAGGAGTTTGAGACCAGGTGTTTGAGGCCAGCGTGGGCAACATAGCGAGACCATGTTTCTACAAAAAAAAAATATTTTTAATTGTTTAATGAAAAAATAAAAGATCCATCCAGCTACAAGGTTAAGAATAGGGATTAGGAGCCAGGCACGGTAGCTCAGGTCTGTAATCCCAGCACTTTGGGAGGCTAAGGCGGGTCTATCAACTTTAGGTCAGGAGTTCGAGACCAGCCTGGCCAACATGGCGAAATCCCGTCTCTATAAAAAATATAGGCCGGGCGCGGTGGCTCAAGCCTGTAATCCCAGCACTTTGGGAGGCCGAGACGGGCGGATCACAAGGTCAGGAGATCGAGACCATCCTGGCTAACATGGTGAAACCCCGTCTCTACTAAAAAAAATACAAAAAAACTAGCCAGGCGTGGTGGCGGGCGCCTGTAGTCCCAGCTACTTGGGAGGCTGAGGCAGGAGAATGGCATAAACCTGGGAGGCGGAGCTTGCAGTGAGCTGAGATCCGGCCCCTGCACTCCAGCCTGGGCGACAGAGCGAGACTCCATCTCAAAAAAAAAAAAAAAAATATATATATATATATATATATATATATAAATTAGCCAGGTGTGGTGGTATGTGCCTGTAGTCCCAGCTCTTTGGGAGGCTGAGGTAGGAGAATCACTTGAACCCAGGAGGCAGAGGTTGCAATAAGCCCAGATAGCACCACTGCACTCCAGCCTGGGCAAAAGAGCTAAACTCCGTCTCAAAAAAAAAAAAAAATAGGGGTTAGGGAACGGATTGGGAGAGGGAGCTGAAAAAGCAGTGAAGGGGCTGGTGATGTCATCTTAGCAAGAGATGACCATGGCTGGCACAGAGGTGGTTGCCTTCTTCCCCTGGATTAAGGATTCCCGACCAGCCTCCTCTCCATCACCCCCTCTCTCCCATCCCTTCCTCTGTCTGACCCCGGCCAGATTTGGACGCATCGGTCGCCTGGTCCTGCGCGCCTGCATGGAGAAGGGTGTTAAGGTGGTGGCTGTGAATGATCCATTCATTGACCCGGAATACATGGTCAGTAGCTGGCAGGGGGCAGGAACAGCAGGGTGGGACTAGGGTGGGAAGGGGGCTCAGGGAAGCCGTATGGAAGGCTCTCAGCTGCAATGTGAGGCCTTCACCAAAGAGGGGACTCTCTAGGGATCCTCGCCCTGCCACCCCAAGACTGGGAGCCATTCCATCGCCCACAGGTGTACATGTTTAAGTATGACTCCACCCACGGCCGATACAAGGGAAGTGTGGAATTCAGGAACGGACAGCTGGTCGTGGACAACCACGAGATCTCTGTCTACCAGTGGTAAGGAGAGCATCTGTCTGATGCACGGCTGTGACATAGTGAGACAGGGGATGTGGAGGTGGCTAAAATGGGATTCCAGCCTCTCACATGGGGTTCTGAAACCGCCCCCAAAATTGCATGTGCATGCCTCTAGGTACTAATTTGAAGAGGGAAGTCTCAGATAGGTCCTTCACCCCTAAAATGGTTAAGAAGCACTAATCTAAAAAGATATCTCACTGTACTCAAGAATGCTTTTTATTTTTATTTTTTTTAGGGACGAGGTATCACTCTCTTGCCCAGTATGGAATGCAGTGGTGTAATCATAGCTCACCGCAGCCTTGACCTCCCGGGCTCAAGTGATCCTCCCACCTCGGCCTCCCGAGTAGCTGACACAAGCCACCATACCTGGCAAATTTTCTGTAGGATGAGGTCTTGCCATTTGGTCCAGGCTGGTCTCAAACTCCTAGCCCCAAGCAATCCTCCCACCTTGGCCTCTCAGAGTGCTGGGATTACAGGCACGAGCCATCACATTTTGCTTTAACACACATTGGTATGTTTTCTCGTGGGCATATCAACATGTCCAGAACTCAACTCTTGATTCCCCTTCACCCCCACACCTATTCAGCTCCCACTGACCACTGCTGGTCAACTGTGCCTGAAATCCAAAGAGAGGAAGGTATAATGAGGCTTGTGCGAACATCCGAACATCCATTCCCATCATGGCCTGAACCAGTGTTTCAGGTTTACTTGAGAATGCCCTGGGCCGAGAGAAGGGCTGCATTCAGTTAGTTGGGAGAGCTTAGAATTTTACTTTTGGCTGACATTCACCTTTCTAATATAAACTATTAGCCACACCTGGCTCTGTGGCTGCCTGGGGCTTTTACACACACACACCCACAGGCACGCACACATGCACATACACACAGGCACACTACTGAACCCTGTCCGGGCCCAGGCAGGGTCTGCAGCCTCCCCAGCGCCCCTCCCCACAGATCTAATCTCAGCCCTTCTGCTTGTAGTTACTGGGGGTAGGGTGAGTGATGAGCAGGGATGGGTGCAGGAAGTTTGTGGGTGGGGGGCAGAAACAGGAGAGTCAGCGAAAACGGAAGAAAGCTGCTTAATCCAAGTTTGAAATCAACACAGCAGAAACAACTCCAGCACCGTAGTTATCACGCAGACTTCAACGTGGCCACCACCATTCCTACCACTTGGAGTCATCCCCCTTCCCCACCTAGCTGCCCCCTCCATCCACGGCCCCAACCCGGGTGGTGCCTTCTCTGGTCACTCGTGCAATGCAACGTGGTTCCCCGCCCCTCCAGCCCCCTCTCCACCCCTGCACTGTTGGGCTGCATAAGCCAAGCTGTGTGCCTGCACTCTGCCCTGCGCTGCCGCTAGCTGGCTGGGTGACCTTGGGCAAGGGACCAAACTCGCCTGAGCCTCAGTTCCCCGATGTGATGGGGAACCCACCACAGCAGTAGCTGGGAGCACGAGTGGCGTGAACACGTGTTTGTGGACACTTAAACAGGCACTTCCCACAAGGCCATGGCCTTGCAGGGAGGGCTCTGTCAACTGGTGCCACCACAGTTGCTCTGGCATTAGCAGGTACAGGCCCTGGTAGACATGAAGAACTTCCTTTGAATAAACAAATGGAATCCTCAAAACAGCCGGTGGGCAGGAGGCTGGGGCCCATGGCAGCCTTGGGGAGGGCCTGGGGTCTTCTGGGGCACATTCCTTGCCTCAGGCCAAGTCAGCAATTGCTGCAGAGGAATTGGAAGTGTCCCTAATTTGGAAGGCAGGAAACGGGGGTAGCTGAGAAGAGCTAGTTGGGCCAGATGATGGAAAGCGGACTGACAGAGCAGGAGACAGGAAGAGGATAACCATGTACTATGGCCTTGCCTGGGGCCTTGCCTGGTGGCCGATTCATCCATTCATTCAGGCAGTGGAAACAGGAGTGCAGACCCGAGCTGGGGCCAGCCACCTGCACTCCAGCAGGCTCTCCCTCTCACTCCCCTCCCCTCCGCCCCGACAGCGGTTAAAAAATGCAAAAAATGGCAGTGGTAGCACTTCCTCATTGGGTTGTGAAGGTTACGTGAGTTTAATACAGGTAAGGCACTTAGAATATGGGCACAGGACAAGTGTTCAGTAAACATGTATAAAATGGCTGACAAAAAAAAAAAAAAAAAAACATGAGGCCAGGTGCAGCGGCTCATGCCTGTCATCCCAGCATTTTGGGAGGCTGAGGTGGGCGGATCACTTCAGGTCAGGAGTTTGAGACCAGCCTGGCAAACACAGCAAAACCCGTGACCATTAAAAATACAAAAAACAACAAAAAACTAGCCAGGTGTGGTAGCACATGCTTGTAACCCCAGCTACTCAGGAGGCGGAGGCAGGAGAATTGCTTGAACCTGGAAGGTGGAGGTTGCAGTGAGCCAAGATCGTGCCACTGCACTCCAGCCTGGGTGACAGAGTGAGACTCTGTCTCAAAAACAAAACGAAACAGAACAAAACAAAACAAACAAAGAAAACCCATGAGGCCAGGCACGGTGGCTTACACCTGTAATCCCGGCACTGTGGGAGGCCAAGGATCACTTGAGCCCAGGGGTTCTAAAGCACCCTGGGAAACAAAAGTGAGAGCCCATCTCTACTAAAAAAATTAAAATTTAGCTGGGCATGGTAGTGTGCGCCTGTAGTCCCAAGCTGCTCAGGAGGCCAAGGCAGGAGGATGGCTTGAGCCAGGAAGATCAAGGCAGCAGTGAGCTCTGATTGCACCACTGCACCCCAGCCTGGGCGACAGAAGAAGACCCTGTCTCAAAACAAACAAACAAACCCCACAAACATTGATTGAACCCCCCATTGAGGGGGGCAGGCTCAAGCGCAAAAGAAACAGACCCACACAACCGAGAATCACAGAAGGAAAGCACTCGGTTACTCGGTTACTCGCAATAAACCTGGGAAGGTATATTCACTTAATGCTTGTTTGCTAAAGCCAAGTAGATAATGGCAATACTAGATGTTTAATGTGTTTCAAATACAAACGTTTGTCAAAATACCAAGTTAAAACGTAAATTTAGGGCCGGGCGCAGTGGCTCAAGCCTGTAATCCCAGCACTTTGGGAGGCCGAAACGGGTGGATCACGAGGTCAGGAGATCGAGACCATCCTGGCTAACACGGTGAAACCCCGTCTCTACTAAAAAATACAAAAAACTAGCCGGGCGAGGTGGCGGGCGCCTGTAGTCCCAGCTACTCGGGAGGCTGAGGCAGGAGAATGGCGGGAACCCGGGAGGCGGAGCTTGCAGTGAGCTGAGATCCAGCCACTGCACTCCAGCCTGGGCCACAGAGCGAGACTCCGTCTCAAAAAAAATAAAAAAACATAAATTTATAAAACAGGAAACCAGAAACCTCCCCCCACTTACCTTTCTAATGTAAACCACGAGCCACTGCTGCCCCAAGGCTGCCTCAGGCTTCAGGCGTCCTCCAGGAGCTTTCTCTTTAATGCAGTGTCTGTTTTCAGGGACTCTCCTGGCCCTTGGCAGCCAGCTTCCTATTGCAGGAACTGAGGATCTAGGAGGGTTCGTGGCGAGGTTGTCGGGGTTGGGGACCAGAAAGCAGCTGGGCAGGCCTCACAGTCACAGAGTCCACATCCCGGGCAGCATACAGAGAAAGGGTCTGAGCTGGCTGACAGCAGTCAGGGTTGGCGCCTCTAAGGAGGTTGAGGGCTGAGTTGGGGAGGTCACCGCCCGTACCCAGGCATAGCAGAGGTGGTGCAATCAACAAAAGGAAGGTGGTCCGAAGTGGGGCAGTGGTGAAAAGCCAGGCCAGCGGGGTGGAGCTCATCTGGAGCAAGTAGGTATGTCGGTGGGGGACGCAGGTAGTTGCAGGTGGGCCAGCATCTGCTCAACCTTTCAAATGGTGAAGGCCGTGGACTATGAAGGTGGGGCTCAAGCAGGGGAGACTGACTCAGCCCTGCCACTACCCCACAGCAAGGAGCCCAAACAGATCCCCTGGAGGGATGTCGGGAGCCCCTACGTGGTGGAGTCCACAGGCGTGTACCTCTCCATAGAGGCAGCTTCGGTAAGCCGGGGAGAGGTGTCCAGGGCCAGCTGGGGGGATGATGGCGCCAGAAGCACCTGACACCGCGCTTCCTCCCCAGAACCACATCTCAGCAGGTGCTCAACGTGTGGTCATCTCCGCACCCTCGCCAGACGCACCAACGTTCGTCATGGGTGTGAATGAAAACAACTATAACCCTGGCTCCATGAACATTGTGAGGTAAGGGGGGCAGCGACATCCTGCAATGTGTGGAAGGGAGGGTAGACTCGTCCTCCCCACTCTCAGCTCCACTGGATTCCTGGTCACTCGGCTTCTACTTCTCCTTCCCGAAACTATCTGCTAAACACGCACGACTTCTGGAGGACAAGCTTGGGGAGCCTCCCCAGCTGCATCTCGGTGCCTCCTTCAGTCTGACGGTGTCTGCACAGATCCCTCTCACCCTCATCCTGACGTTTCACAAAACCAAGTCTGCGTGCATACCCCAAGAGGGGTAAGGGTGGAGGGGTGGCTCTGCAACTCACCTCACAGTGCCCGTGCACACCTTGGCTGTTGCAGCAACGCGTCCTGCACCACCAACTGCTTGGCCCCCCTTGCCAAGGTCATCCACGAGCGATTTGGGATCGTGGAAGGGTTGATGGTGAGTTGAGGATGAGGGGCTGGGGCAGGATGGCAGGGAAACCCCAACCTTTTCTTCCCAGGCCTTGCTTACTATATGGAGTTAAGAGGGAGAGATTGGTTTCGGGAGGAGAGGCCCACCAGTGCAGAAGTCTTTTAAAACACTGTACAACCCTCAGTCAAGGCTGGACCCTGGCCTGCACACGTCCCCTCCTGTGGTCTGTGGTGGTGGCCCCACCAGCCTCCACACCTAGGCCACTACCCTAGTCCCGGAAAAAAAGAGGTATGGGAGCTTAGGACCATGAAGGCCTCATCTTGGTCCTTCTCTTCCCCAAGACCACAGTCCATTCCTACACGGCCACCCAGAAGACAGTGGATGGGCCATCAAAGAAGGCCTGGAGAGATGGGCGGGGTGCCCACCAGAACATCATCCCAGCCTCCACTGGGGCTGCGAAAGCCGTGACCAAAGTCATCCCAGAGCTCAAAGGGTATGAGGACAAGAAGCCGCAACCAGGGTGGGGGCATACCCCGGGAGGACTGGACTGGCCCTCAGTCCTTAAGGGGAAAGCAGAAGCCTGGCCCGGCCACAGGGCAAGGGGGATTGGAGGGCAACGTCCCTAAGTTCTGACTCCTGTTCTTCATGGGGGATTCTCCAGGAAGCTGACAGGGATGGCATTCCGGGTACCAACCCCGGATGTGTCTGTTGTGGACCTGACCTGCCGTCTTGCCCAGCCTGCCCCCTACTCAGCCATCAAGGAGGCTATAAAAGCAGCAGCCAAGGGGCCCATGGCTGGCATCCTTGCCTACACCGAGGATGAGGTAGGGGCTGAGGAGAGGAGACCCTGGGAGGAGCCCTCTGGGGAGGGACATGATTTCCACTTGCCAGGGAGCTGCTCTCAATGTGTCAAGACAGAAACTGCAGGGCGGGAAGGGAGATCTCCCTGCCTCAGGGCCTTTGCACTTCCTGTTCCTTTGGTCTGGAATGCTTGCCCCCCCCAGATGACCACACAGTCTGTCCTTACTTCCTCCAAGTCTCTACTTCAACCTCCCTCTTCAGCAAGGCACCCCCTCAAAAGATGTTCTTTCTGTGGCCCTATTCCTCACCTGAAATTTCTTGTCAGTCACTGTTGATCCCAATGGTGTGTGCATTCCAAGAAAACAGGGATTTAGGGGCTGCGTTTTCACTTTTCTGGCTCCAACCTGGCAGACAGCAGGTGACCAATACATGCTTAGTGAACAAAAGACAACAGTTCTCATTTTTTTCAATACTTGTTCAGGGCCAGGCCATGGCCAGGTGCCTTCTCTGTGAGGAGTGGATGCCATGGTCATGGTGGACCCCGTACATCTACCTTGGTGCTGTCTCCCTGCATTAACTCCTGCAGGTCCACTTTCCCACAGTCGCCAGGATCTTTTGTTTTAATGGAATCACACTGCATCACCCATTTTCAGGAGTGAAAACACTCTTGTGGCCTTTCCTGACACTAGGGCTAAAACCCTCAGGTTCTCCGTTCCTGCAGCTCCTTCCACCTCAGACGCTGTGTTGAGGGCCAGAGCCAGTGAGATCTTCCTAGTCATCTAGACCCAGGCTCATGGCCACCCCTCAGAGAGGCCCTCCATACTGGCCCATTTCAAATGCTTGCATTATTCCTAGGAAAGGGATGTACTGGTACAGCATGAGGGTGTTTGTGACCTGTGCCCTTTGGTCAGACCCCAGTAGAGTGCCTTGGTCCCTGTCCCCAGAGACTGAACACAGTAGGGCTACATCAAAAATAGATGAATGCATGGATGGGCGATAGAGCTAAGAGCACTGTCAGCTCCTGGAAGTCCTTGCTCTGCCGGACACACTTATCTTTGAAATTCTGACGCCCAGGTCGTCTCTACGGACTTCGTCGGTGATAGCCACTCGTCCATCTTCGATGCTAAGGCCGGCATTGCGCTCAATGACAATTTCGTGAAGCTCATTTCATGGTAAGGGGAAAGGAGCTGGAGACTTGCAGGGGAACTAAGGGGTGGTCGGAAGGAACCCCCTTGAGCCTGCCAATCCCTCCTCCACAGGTACGACAACGAATATGGCTACAGTCACCGGGTGGTCGACCTCCTCCGCTACATGTTCAGCCGAGACAAGTGAAACGGAAAGGTCCCTTCTTTCCTTCCCAGGGGCCAGGGCCGGTACATGTGCCTCCCGTTCCTGCATCTGGCTGCCCGGGGGAGGAAGGGCACCCGGGGCGGACGCCCCACGCCGCTGGGTCCATGGTGAAATAAAAAACAGTGCTCACAGCTGCGTCTCGTATTTCTGCGCCGGTCACGGCGGGTTCTGATCCGGGTTTGAGGCCCGCCCCACCCTTACTCGATCGCCTGCGCCCACGGGCGAGGGGTCGCGCTTGACGTCAAGCCGGGTTCCACTTCGGGAGACGGGGACAGCGATGGCAGCGGGAGAGGTCCCGCATGGCCGGAAGTCACTCCCCACAGCGCTGGGCCGGGAGCGCTGGCAACCGGGCCCGGCCACGGGCGCTCTGACGTCACTGGGCGCGACGCCCCGCGCCGAGACTACTGATCCCAGAAGGTCGCGCGCGGGCCCCCGCCAGTCAGGTGGGCGCCAGGCCCTGGCCGTGGCGAAAGTACCGGCGGAGCCGGAGACCCGCTGCCGGAGACGCCGCCTCGCGATCCCCGCGCGGGCGGGACCGGGCGGCCGGCGTCATGACCCTGTTTCACTTCGGGAACTGCTTCGCTCTCGCCTACTTCCCCTACTTCATCACCTACAAGTGCAGCGGCCTGTGAGTGCGGGAAGGGCGCGGGGCGGAGAGGGCGCGGGGCCCGGGCCGAGCCTCACCTCCCGCTTCTCCAGGTCCGAGTACAACGCCTTCTGGAAATGCGTCCAGGCTGGAGTCACCTACCTCTTTGTCCAACTCTGCAAGGTAAGGGCCGCCGGAATCCACGTGTTCTGGCCCCCAGGCTCTGCAGACCCAGGGACCCGCCCCCGTTGCGTATCCCCCGCCACGGTGGGACCGCCCTCGGGACTCAGCGTAGGGAGGCGTCAGGATACCTAGAAAGGATAGACTTTAAAGAGGGCACGACCTGAGAAGAGGCCTAAAAGCAACTTTTGCGTCGCACTTAGTAAAACTGAGAAAACGTCAGTAGTGTGGTTGGCTAAGAGGTGTTTTTTTTTTTGGTGCGATTAAGAGTGATCACTGATTCCCTACATGCTGTTAACACTGCCCAAGGAGCAGCACCTGCAAACCTGACTCAGATGCCCTGTGATCACCCAGAACTCCAACTTCCAGCCCCCTCGGGGCCCCGGGGACCTATCCTCTATCTCCCCCATTCCTGTAATCTTGCCACCATCTGGTGGTTCCTCTTCCAGATGGGTCCCCAGAACCTGTCCTGCCCTCCTCATACCCACGAACTTCCCACAAATCCCACGTGGTTTATCTTGATCCCCTCACCTTGAAGTGACCTCTTTCTGCTTTCTCTTCTCAGATGCTGTTCTTGGCCACTTTCTTTCCCACCTGGGAAGGCGGCATCTATGACTTCATTGGGGTGAGAGGGGCCAGGGAAGGGCAGGGCATGCAGGAGCGGGGCTCCCTGTCCCCTGTGCTTACTTAAGCCTCAACCTGACCTGCAGGAGTTCATGAAGGCCAGCGTGGATGTGGCAGACCTGATAGGTCTAAACCTTGTCATGTCCCGGAATGCCGGCAAGGGGGAGTACAAGATCATGGTTGCTGCCCTGGGCTGGGCCACCGCTGAGCTTATTATGTCCCGGTGCGTGCAGCAGCCTGGAACCCAGACACCTGAGAAGGGACACCTGGGTTCCACGGGGGTGCTGGAGGGCAGGGGCTCACAGCCTGGTACTGAAGGTGTCTGGGTACTGGAGAATCCCATCCTTTGCCTTCCTCAGCTGCATTCCCCTATGGGTCGGAGCCCGGGGCATTGAGTTTGACTGGAAGTACATCCAGATGAGCATAGACTCCAACATCAGTCTGGTAGGCAGTCCTGCTCTCCCACACACACATTTCTGCTGGCGGCCATACTCCTATCGAGGCCTGGCCCCAACTTTCCGCCTCCCTCCAGGTCCATTACATCGTCGCATCTGCTCAGGTCTGGATGATAACACGCTATGATCTGTACCACACCTTCCGGCCGGCTGTCCTCCTACTGATGTTCCTCAGTGTCTACAAGGCCTTCGTGATGGAGTAAGCTGGGTGGGGTTTAGGGCTGGGTCCAAAGTGGGGTGGGTTATCTAGTCTCCCTCCCTCATGGTGACATTTTCCTGCAGGACCTTCGTCCACCTCTGCTCACTGGGCAGCTGGACAGCCCTACTGGCCCGAGCAGTGGTAACGGGGCTGCTGGCCCTCAGCACCTTGGCCCTGTACGTCGCCGTTGTCAATGTGCACTCCTAGGCTTGGTGTCTCAGATACTGATGTACCCTTTCCCTGACTCGCTTCAGGTTTTAGTGAAGTAAACAGTATTTGGAAAGTTGCTGCTGCCTCCATTTCTCTCTCTCTTGGGAACTGTCTCCCAATACCGTGCCCACCTGGGTCCCAGAGGCCCTGGTTCTGGCTTAGGAGCCAGGTAGACAAGCTGGAAGCTAGCCAGTCACTGGCTTATCCCATGTCCCGTTCCTCAGGCTCCTAGTTTGTCAGGAGTAGACAATGTTTGGATGATCTTTGAGCAATGGCAGAGGCCAGGGCCCTCAGGGAACAGGTGATAGAGGGGAGCTAGAATCCAAGAGAAGGCCCTTGGGGGCTCTTCCTCTCCTCACAGCCTCAACCTGGGCCTCCCCACACAGGTCCTTCCCGGGCTGGTTACCTCTGAGGCTCCCGGCCCCAGTGTCCCCCTCCAATCCATCCTCTGTATGGCAGCCAGGGGATCTATCTGAAACCCATGTAACCGGGTCATCCTCCCGCTTGCAACCACTTGCAGCCCCTTGTTACACAGTGGACAGTCCAATTGCTCGGCCTTTGGTTTTATCCAACCAGCAAAATCAGCTTTTCTGAAACTGCTCCCTAGAATAATTTGCCCAGCCAGATTCTTAACATCGTTCAAGCCATGGGGTCAGCATGAGGCTGGGGGGAGAGTTGTGACTGTGAGCTCCTCAGTTCTATGGCCCTCAGCTCAGATCCCAGCCTGAGCCTTCTCAGGGTGGAGTGGAGAGACAGCTGCAGCCAAGGAGCAGAGCAGTGGGGCCCCCAGCTTTGACCTTGTCCTGGATGCCCCCCTCCATCCTCGGCCTTCCTTGGTCCACTGAAGCCAGCTCCCCGCCTCTCTCTGAGGGGGATGTGTCAGAAGTTTTGAATGTCATGTTTAAGCTCCACTTTGATGCACACCTTCCCCACTCAGGAAGATGTTCCCCAGCCCTGACGTTCCCAGTGGGGTACCCCAGGGAGTAGGTTAGGGCAGTTGCCCCTCTTCCTCCAGGCTGTTGAGGTTCCATATGATTTTTTTCTTTTTTTTTTTCCTTTGAGACAGAGTCTCGCTCTGTCGCCCAGGCTGGAGTACAGCGGCGCGATCTAGGCTCACTGCAAGCTCCGCCTCCTGGGTTCACGCCATTCTCCTGCCTCAGCCTCCCGAATAGCTGGGACTACAGGCGCCCGCTACCACGCCCGGCTAATTTTTTTGTATTTTTAGTAGAGACGGGGTTTCACTGAGTTAGCCAGGATGGTCTCGATCTCCTGACCTTGTGATCTGTCCGCCTCAGCCTCCCAAAGTGCTGGGATTATAGGCATGAGCCACCGTGCCCGGCCCATGATTTTTTTTTAAGGTTAGGCCTAGGAAAGCTCGCTATGACTGTCTCAGTGTTTCCGGAGGGAGCATTTGCCCTCAGACAGGGCAGCCGCCATCTAGGCCCACTCTTTCTCATTGTTTGGAATAAAGACAGGGTCCACGGGTCTCGGGAGCTGGGAGTGATTGATCGCTTTGACTTTGATGTGGAAACGAAGTAGATGGGGCAGTCTCTGGGTGGACTTGTGACAAGGTCACTTTCTCCCACACTTCCATGCCCCACATAGCTCTTCACACACATTGAGATAAGTGTAGGTTGCAGAAATTACCAGCTGGAATAATCCCAGCTTACATGGGGTTCAGGGAGAGAGACTGGAGTGGTTAGGGCTGAGTTGGCAGAAGACGGTGAAGCCTGGGCGGTTGGACTGTGGGGAGCCAGGCTGCAGGTAATCAGGGTTATGATGGGAAAACACCGGGTTGTGGGGATCCAGAGGAGCCGCCTGGCCTGCCGTGGAAGCAGTGCGGGCTCCCCTGAACAGAGGACATGTGAGCTGAGACCTAAAGAATGAGTGACTGGGGCAAGGCAGAGGTAATGGTCTTGAGGTCAGAGAGGAGGCCTGTTTTTCCCAAGGGAACATAACTGGTTGGAATGAGTTCAAGGAGGCTTGTGAGACTACAGAAGCTGGCAGGGGTCAGATCACAGAAGGCTTTGGGAACCATGGAGAGCTCTAGGCAGAGGAAGAACAGGGTCAGATTTGGCTTTAGGAAGCTCTGATGGCTGTTGTCTGGAGTGGGAAGGCTGAGGCCAAGAGGCCAGGGCTGGACTAGAGCGGGGCTGGTGGGGTTAGGGTAGCGACTGGAAGCCAAGCGGAGGTGTTGGTGATCAGTGGGCTGTGTGTATTTATTTACCGGCAGGGGGCGCCGTGGGGTGGTAACAGGTAAGGGAGGAGCAAAAAGTTCCAGGATAACTGGAGTTTGGGGCCTGTAAGCCCGAGGGTTTACCACGTTTCCAAGGGAGAAGGGACCACACTGATGAGACAGTGGGACTATCAGATTGGGTCAGTGCATGGGTACAGGTATGGGGGATATGGAGGATGATGAAGAGGCCAGTGTAGGTCACCTCCGACACTGGGGGAAGCTGGGGACAGATGTGGACCTCACGGCAGAAACAACTGAAGCCATGCGGGTCTGGGGGGCTGTGGTCACAAGGAAGGAGAAGCCTAGGACCTAGCCAGAGAAAGCTACATAAGAAAGAGGAAGAGAAGTGAACAGAGAGGCTAGGAAAGGAGCAGCAGAGGTGGGAGGTGGGGGGATGGGGTTAACCTTTCAGGTGAGGGGTGTGAGGAGGGGACCTCCAGGAGTTGTTCAGGAACTGGCCATTTCTGGGACAGAGGAGTAAGCAGGTAGGCTCAGAGAGGAGACACCGGTGGGGGGTGGGGGATGCTTGATGTGGAAATGACTTGGGCCCCCTCGTGTCTGGGAGCCCCCAGGAGGGAGAAAGGTGCTGAGAACAGAGAAAGCCCAGAGGTGATGGGGGGCGCCTGTGGTCACGGCCCAGCTTGCCTTTAGATGCCATGACCCTGGGCAAAGAAATAGGAATCATTTCCCCAAGGCAGGTTTATTGAGCACCTACTATGTGCCAGGCTGTGTCCTAGGCACTGAAGATATAGCCCTGAATAAACAGCGCCCACGTGTAGGACTGTGGAAGATCACAAGTACTAATGAGAGACGCTGAGAACAGTGCCTGGCACCGGATACAGCACAGTCAGCATGAGTTGGTTTTATTACCATCGCCCAGGACACAATCATGTCTTTACCGAAGGGCCCCCGGGCAGCCCTCCTGCCTGGACTGGAGTCCTGAGGACAGAAACACCCTGCAGGAGCGGCCAGCTGTACTCCCTGTCAGAGCCCCACCGCCACCGTAGGTGGGGGCTTTCCCAAGGCCAGCTCAGAGGACTGCCCAGGTGCTGCTGCTCCGGGAGGTGCAAACTTGGGGATGGGGGAGGGGAGTGGGCAGGTCCCTCCAAATGTGGGGTGCCGTGGGCTGCAGAAGCAGATTCTGGTGGGGCTGGGACTCTTGGTTGCTCAGATGACTTGGTGGCTGTCCAGAGGCTCCCACGAGCCCTGCCCCCACCTGCTGTGGCAGTTGCAGGGATGCTTGAAGGCAGCCGTCCCTCTAATAGTAGAGTTCCTGGTCCCACCAGCCTGGGAGAGAGAGGGAGAAAGGAGACTCAGTGCTGGGGGTGCCACTTAGGCAGGGCCAGGGGCTGAGAGGTCAGAGATTGGTGCTGTTTGCTATGGAGGGTCAAGGGCTTGGAGGCCAAGTGTTGAGGATCAAAGGTGGGTGCAGCTGCTCGAAAACGTTTCAGTCCCCCGCCCCCAGGCCCTCAGTCTCCACACTCACTCCCTGGGCAACAGCGAACTCCAAGCTTCCGGATCTCATCATAGACGAAGATGAGGATGCCGTAGGGCAGGGGGACCAGCCACCACTGGAACCTGAAGGCACATGGCAAGGTGAAGGCCATCCCAGGCCTGTGCCTCACAGCCCCCTCCCTCTCCTGGCCCCTCACAGCCTCTCACCGAATGGGCATGAAGTTGAAGATGTTGGGCATGCCGGGGCAGTAGCACAGGAAGCAGCCAATGCAGACCTGGAACACGATGGCGATCACCAGGATCTTATTCCTGGGGGTGGGCAGGATAGGACAGGCCATTAAGAATTGGGGACGTGATGCAAATCAGGATACTGTGGGTCAAAGTAGGTCAGATGTCAGCAGCAGCAGGGAGGTGTTCTACACGCTGAACACTGGAGTGGCCCGGGCCTCTCAGCACCACCCCTTTAGTGAAATGAGGGGGCCGTTGGGGGGAGCTGTTGGTCAGTTAGAAAAGTTTTTTGGCATGTCAGCATCTGGCACCGGCACCCGCTAGCATTTGCCGGCTGTTCTAAACCACAGTCAGGATCTGATGGGAGTTGGGACCAGGGGTTGGAGGGCAGAAATGGGGCCCGCCAGGGACACCTGAAGAAGCCTTGCTGGAAGGCAGAGAGGCGGCGCGTCTTGCGGATGAGGACGTCAGCGATCTGGCACACCTCGATGCTGATGAAGAACACGGTATAGCAGGTGTACTGCTGGTACAGGCGCTGCCCGAATGTCTGCAGGCCAGGGGCAAACGGAAACAGCCTGAGTCCAGCCTGAGTCCCGGCGGAGAGCTTCTGCAGCCCACCAGGCATAGGGTCCCAGGGCCGTGAACCCCTAAATGCTCTCTCTGCCTTGCATCAGAGGGTGGGAGGTGGGGGGAAGGCGAGAGGCAGAGTCTGTCAGGTGTGCAGGACCCCAGACTGGGGCCCAGAAACCTCAGCCTAGCAGAGCTTAGATGACAGTGCCCGGGAAAACAGTAGGCTGGGCCGACTGCTTTCATAGTGCAAGTGGGGAGGCACCCAAAAGAAAGGGCCTGGGAAAGGGGAATTGAAATCCTCAGATGGGATTTGCAAAGTCCAGTGACTCCAGGGGCCAGGCGGATGGCAAAAATAGGTGAGGCAGGCACCGCGGTCCTTTGGGGAACAGAGGGCACGTGCCCCATTTAAAGGGGGCAGCCACTATGTAGCCCATTTCTTCAACACAGCTACTTCTTTTTTTTTTTTTTTTTTTTTCTGAGATGGAGTCTCGCTGTATCACCCAGGCTGGAGTGCACTGGTGCGATCTTAGCTCACTGCAACCTCCAAATCCCAGGTTCAGGAGATTCTCCTGCCTTAGCCTCCCAAGTAGCTGGAATTACAAGCATGCGCCACCATGCCTGGCAACACAGCTCCTTCTAAGACCAGCTAACTGTGGGGATCCCCGACTGCTCCAGTGTTGCACGTGCATTAGCTCATTTAATCCTCTGGGTAACCCTAGGAGGTAAATCAGTGGTGCTGGAACTTGAACATGCATGAGAATCCCCTCAAGGGCTCCCAGAGGGCTGGGATAGAGCCTGAGAATTTGCGTTTCAAACAGGTTCCCAGGTGATGCTGATGCTGCTGGTCTGGGAACAAACTGAAAACCACTGAGGTAGACTTTGGTATTCTCTCCACTTTGCAGGTGAAAAAACAGGCACAGCGAGGCAAAGCAACCTGCCCAGGGTTACACAGCTTGTGAGGAGCAGTACCAGACCATGAGTTCAAACGGTCTGGCTTCAATGTCTATCTTAACCATGACAGAAAATGTTTAAGGGAAATATCCTCATCTGTATGGAACTCTGCAGCTGAACTAAACACATCTGCTGGCCAAATCTAGCCTCACTGTGCTCCACACCTTCATTAAAATGGGCCACATGTGCAAATACCCTGTGGAGTGATGCTGTAGGGAAAATAGCAGACTAGAGGCCTGGTTCCACATCTGAGATGATGCATTAGTGTCAGGGCAGAGACACCCATCTGCAGTTGCCATCATCAGAAGCAGGAGTTTGCAGCTGGAGATGGTGGGAAAGGTCCTGGCCCCCAGAACTGGCAGGGAGTCTGGGTGTCCGGGATACTGTGGCTGAACTCAGTCACATGTGGAGGAACAAGTGGACTGCACATAAGGCAAGTGGCCCTGGGAAGGAGGGAGCCCAGGGATGGGAGGGATGGGGCGAGGCTCACCCACTCCTGGCCGTAGCTGTCCTGCAGATCTTGTAGGTGGTGGTCCTCCCACTGCGCCCGCAGCCCCACGCACAGCAGTGGGAACCAGCCCTCCTGGGCCATGGCCGTGAAGTAGTCAGTGAAGCCAGCAAAGGACTGAATGGCACCTGGAGAGAGGCAAGGGGACACAGGGAGACAGAGATGGACACAGAGACAGGGACATGGGAAGAGAGGGACATGGAGAGACAGGGACACAGATACACAAAGGTCAAGGACATACAGAGACGGACACGGGAAGAGAGACAAGGATATGAAGAGACAGGGACACAGATACACAAAGAAGGTCAAGGACACAGAGACAGGGATGCAGAAACAGAAAGGACACAGAGGCAGAGAGAGACAGAAGCAGGGACAGAGAGAAAAAGACACATCCAGGACCCAAAAAGACAGAAATAGGCAATGACAGGGTCATGGAGAGCAAGGTCAGAGACAGAGCAGGGACACAGTGGAACCAGAGAGATCGTCACAGAGAGGACACGGAGGACAATGGAGACCCAGGACCAAATGCAGACACCCAGGTCCAGAACCAGCCAGAGCCCAAGGCAGAGCCTGGGGCAGGCGAGCAGCCCAGCGCAGAGCCCCCCACCTCCAGGCTCCCTGGCCCATGGGCACCCACCAATCTGGAAGTAGGAGTAGGCAGCCAGAGGCTCGTTGACCAATCTGTCGCGCTTTGGGTTGCGTGGACGCAGGTGCATGATGTCGCTCTCGGCTTTTTCATACGCCAGGGACACAGATGGGAACTGGCCAGGAGTGGAAGGAACTGGGACTGAGGGTTTGGCTGGGCCCCTGTCCCCTCCACTCCGGGTCCCCCTTCCCCCACTTGTGGGCAGGAACAGGACTGAGGTTAGCAGGCAGGACCTGCAGGGATGGCACAGCTACACCAGCCTGGACAGCCTGGGCCCCTGGTGTCCAGCTTCATAAGAACATCTGCTTTTATCTTCTCCCTCTGTCTCCCTCTCTCTCTCTTTCTGTTCCTCACTCTGTTTCTCCGTCCCTGTCTCCGATATAATTCTCTTGTGACGGTATCTCTGCTTTTGTGCGTTTCTGCGTTACTCCCTATCTCTGTGTATCTTCAGTCTCTTGGTGTCACTGTGCCCCCTTATCTGCTTGTGCCTAGAGTGGCAGCAGAGCATACTGACCACGACCACAGGCTGTGGGACCTGTGACTGCCCGGCCTCAAGGCACAGCCAGGCCACTTATTTGCCCAGTGACCTAGGACAAGCCACTCTACCTGTCTATGCCTCGATGAGCTCATCAGTAAAGTAGGGGTGATAGTAAGAAAACTCATCTCATAGCGTGGTTAGGAGTACAATATTAAGGAAATGATTGTGTGTCTGGCCCAGAAAAAGCACTATGTAAATGTTACAGAATAAATACCTGTCAACCCAGCCATACCTCTGTCTGCATTCATGACTGTATCTGTGGCTCTTTTCCGTCTGTCTGCGATGGGGTCTATCTGAGGGCATTTATTTGTCCATGTCTGTTTAGGGGCACGTGTCTGTGATTCAGGTTAGGCTAGATACCTGTTTTGTTTCCACCTCTGTCTGCGTATCTGTATCTGAGTCCCCGTGTGTGCATGTCGGCCCGGGCCTACCTGAGTGTCCACCTGTGTGTGCATGGCTGTAGGTCTGTCCATTTAGGTCTGTCCACCTGCCTGCCAGCCGTGTGTCCTGCACTGGCTGTCATTGCACACACAGGTCTTGTCTGTCACTCTGTGCCCAAGAGTGTCTGTGGTGGTCTCTGCCCCTCCTGTCCATCTGTGGGCAAGTGTCTCTGGGCACCCTGTGGATGGGTACCCTGGGCTATGGACTCACAATGTCAGTGCAGAGTTCGATGAAGAGGATGGTGATGCACCCGAGGGGCAGGGGCACGCTGACGGTGATGTAGATGAGGTAGGGCGTCAGCTCCGGGATGTTCTTGGTCAACGTGTAGGCAATAGACTTCTTCAGGTTGTCAAAGATCAGTCGACCTGTGGGGTCGGGCAGGCACCTCAGCCTCCTCACAGCCCTCTCCCTCCTGTGCCCACACCGCCTACCCCCTCCCTGGCCTGGCCCGGACCCTGCTCCACGCCTGTCACAATGGAGGCGAAGTTGTCATCCAGCAGGATCATGTCAGCTGCATTTTTGGCAGCATCCGAGCCAGCGATGCCCATGGCTACTCCGATGTCTGCCTTCTTCAGAGCTGGGGAGTCATTCACACCATCCCCTGTGACGGCCACAATCGCACCCTGCAGGCAGCGGGTGCAGGCGGGTGGGCGGGTGGTCAGTGAGAGGCTGGCCCAGGACCAGCCCCGCCCCTCTGCCCGCCTGCCCGCCCTCATCAGCAGGGCTCACCAGCCGCTGGCAGCTCTCCACGATCACCAGCTTCTGCTGGGGGCTGGTGCGCGCAAACACCATCTCGGGGTGGGTGCGCAGGGCTTCGACCAGCTCCGATGGGTCCATGTCCTTCAGCTGCATGCCATTGATCACACAGGCACGGGCGTCCCTGGGGAGGAGATGGGAAGACCTCACTGGGACCTTAGTCTGTGCCAGATGTGGGGAGAACCCCGAGAGGTCTGAGGGGGGCTTACTTGCGATTAACCTGGTCCACGGGCACACGGAGGCGGGCAGCGATGTCCTCCACCGTCTCACTGCCTTCCGAGATGATGCCCACACTGGCTGCAATGGCCTTGGCGGTGATAGGGTGGTCACCCGTCACCATGATCACCTGTAGGTGGAACCAGTGGATCCCTGACCCCTTCAGATCAGCCCAATCCCCCGTCCTCCCTGGGAGACATCTGCTGATACACGTGTTCATTTACTTGACCAAGCGTGACCACCTGCTACATGTCTGGGATATAGCAGAGACAAAAGAGACAAAAATCCCCGTCCTTGAGGAGCTGACATTCTAGTGCGGGTGACAGAAAATAAAGAAATGAATTATATAGTATGTTACAAGGTGGGAAAAACATATTAAGCTTGGTGGAGAAAATGGTGACTCGATTTTAAGTGTACCCAGGGAAGGGCTTATTGAGAAGGTGACATCTGAGCAGAGACCTGTAAGAGGCGAGAGAGTTGGCCACATGGAAAGCTGGGGGAAGAGTGCTCCTGGGAGAGGGAACAGCAGGTGCAAAGGCCCTGAGGTGAGGACAGGCCCAAACTGTCGGAGGAACAGCAGGGAGGACAGCATAACCGCAGAGGAGTGAACAAGCAAAGAGGGCTAAGGAACGAGCTTAGAAAGGTAACAAGGCCCTGATCTAACAGGGCCTTAGAGACATAGGAAGGGCTTGGGCACTGCCTGCCTGGCCTTGGGTTTCCCACCCTTGTTTTGTGTTTGGGGAACCACTCCTCTTCCCTAGACCATCGGTTGCAGTGAAGTCCCTGGCTAAGACTGGGCAAGAAAGCCCAGATCTGGCCAATCAAGGTCTTCCATCCCCCAGCCACAGTGACTGGCTCAAGGATGAATGAGTGACCCAATCTGATGCTACTGAAAAAGAGGCACTCTCTTTTTATGGGGTGGCTAAACAGGTGGGAGTTAAGTTCGAGCTGCTTGAGCAGGGGTGTGTGTGTCCCCAAGTGGAGGGAGTGCTTGCAAATAAAGCCAGCAGAGCAAAGAGCAGAGCTGAGACATGGAGAAAGGAAAATTCCTAATGACCCTGAGCTCCTGGATCCAGCTATACCTGAAGCTTAATTCCCCAGAATTTTTCAGTATCATAAACCAATGCATTTTTGCTCAAGCCAGTTTCAGGTGGGTTTGTCATGGGGTTCTTCAACCCAAATCCTGCTGCCATCTTCTGTCCTCACCCCACTTGTTCCTCCCCACAGTGGCATACCCGGATGCCTGCTGTGCGACACTTGAGCACAGCATCAGGGACGGTGGCCCGGGGTGGGTCAATCATGGATACAAGTCCCGCAAAGCAGAGGCCGCTAGATGGAAAGTTCATGTCCTCCACATCGAAGGCATAGCCGGGCGGGTAGTCCTTCTCATTCAGGTAGAGCTGGCAAAAGCCTGGCCGGAAACAGGGAAGTCAGGGAGGAGCCCTGGGCAGACCCTTCCTTAGCAGGGCCAGGAAATGAGTAAAATAACCAGGCCCGTTGCACCAAACATCTATGGATGTCTGACCCTGTGCTAACCCCTTCACTCACATTATCTGAATCTACCCTCACAACCACCCTTGAGGCCCATTCTCATCTTACAGATGAGGAAACTGAGGCTCAGAGAGGGGACATTTCTTGCCAGAGGTCACACAGCAAGTAAAAGGCCCAGAATTGGACCACAGATCTGTTTTCTAGGGTAGAGGCAGGGAAGTTTAAGGCGTCAGGACAAAAATTGGGAGAGGTCAGAGGTCAGGATAAGGATGAAAAGTCCAGGTGAGGACTGGGGTCAAGGTAGAAAGTGAGGACAGACAGGGGTCAGGACTGGTACAAGGAAAGTCAAGGGTGAGGCTGTGGACTGGGACAGGTCAGCCAGCAGCCAGGGATGCGGACGGTCAGGGCTGGGCCTGGCGGGGTGGGCAGAGTCTGTGCTAGCTCCTCCTCCCACCTAGAGTCTCCTCCTCTGCCCAGGGATCTCACCGAGCACGCGTTCGCCCAGGCCTCCCAGGCTGAGGTAGGCGGTCTGGAAGGCCTCGCGCCACTGCTCGTCCAGCGGCAGTTCCTGGCCCTTGATAAGGATGGAGCTGCAGCGCTCCAGCACGCGCTCGGGGGCGCCCTTCATCACCAGCAAGTGTCGCGGGTCCCGCGGGTCCTCCAGCGTATGGATGGACAGCTGTGGGCGGGGAGGGGCGGGGATATGGGCGGAGGAACAGGGCGGGGCTGAGGAGAGGGGCGGGGCCGAGAGCTTGGTGCGGGGCCTGAGAGCTGCGGGGAAGGGTGAAGGTGGAAAATGGGGGCCTTGTGTAGAGAGGTCCTTGGTAGAAGGTGAGCTTTAAGGCGGGGCTAGGCGCATATTTGGGGTCCTGGGCGCAGGGAATGAACAGAATTAGGGTGCGGAGTTGCGGGCTGGGGGCGGGATTTAGAGAGCGAGGTGCTCCTCATGGAGAGTCCCGCCGAAGAGAAGCTGTGGGCGGGGCTGGGTGGTGAGCGGGACCTTGCCTCTGGTGGGCGGGGCCATAGGCAGAGCGGGAGATGGGGTGGGGTTTGGCTGCGGAGAGAGGAAACTGGGAGCGAAGCCCCGCGTGGCCCTCCTGAAGTGGGTGTGGCCTGGGGCGGGGCCCGAGATGCGGGACCAGGCCGTGGGCGGGGCCGGCTGCGCACCTGGAACTTGTTGGTGGAGTTGAAGGGGATCTCGCAGACTTTTGGGAAGCGGTCGCGGTAGCCCATGGCGTTGCCCAGCGTCAGCTCCGAGAACTTGAGCAGCGCCGTCTCCGACGCGTCTCCGATCACGATGCGCTGGAAGCGGGGACCGGTGTCAGGGGCGAAGCCGGCTACACTTGCCTCCCGGGATTCCCTGGAGGCCCCCTGGCTCTCACCTTGGGCACGGGCACTGCATCCTGGCCGGACTTGAAGGCAGCGCGGTTGCACAGGGTGAGCACCCGGCACAGCGCCCGCCACGTCTCCGAGGACTGGTCAAACGTCTGCCCTGCAGACCAGGCGTCCAGGCTGGGTCCCGCATGGCGGCTCTCCCAGACCAGAACAGAGCCCCCTCCTCCTAGGCTCATGTCGCGGGCCCCCTCCCCAGACCTGGGTGGGATTGGGTTCCACCCAACCCTGAGGGATCCAACCCCAGGATGACCCTTCCCTCTAGACCCAGTAGCGAGTCTCCTTTGAGACCTGGAGCCGAGCCGCCCTGCCTTCGTACAAAGCCCTCACTACCTCCCTAGCCCCCTTCAGGTCTCCACCATCCACCAGATCCTGCCCTGGCGCCTGTGCCCTCCCTGCCCCACACCTGACTGGTCTTCTGTGGTGTCAGCTGTGTGGATGTGGTTGTCAAACCACAGATGGGACACAGTCATGCGGTTCTGAGTGAGAGTCCCTGTCTTGTCTGAGCAGATCACTGAGGTGGAGCCCAATGTCTCCACCGCCTCCAGGTTCTTGACCACGCAGTTCTTACTGGCCAGGCGCTTGGCTGTCAGGGACAGGCAGACCTGGGGAAGGGGTGAGCACCGCAGGCTGGGGATCCACCCTTGCTTCCAGTCCTCTTCCCCACCTCACAGAACCTGGAAGGCTTTACCCCAGCCGCGGGATTGCGTGTGCAACGTGCTTCTGCAAAAACCAGGTGTTTGTTTCTTGGCCCCAGCTTTTGTTGAGCCTGTGCTTTGTTTGGGACTCCTTCCCCAGTCTGCCCAGATACAGTAGCCAGGCCCCTCTCTGAGCTGTCCCAGCTGAGGTTCTGAAAATTCTCTTCACACAATCAAAATGAGAAAAGGAACCTTCCCCGCACCTTCCTGGGGGCTGGTCTGGGGCTGGGTGCTGACTAGGGGAGGCCCTGTGATATGCTGGCTGCCTGCACAGGACCTCAGCCTCTTCCAGTTAAGGACCTGGCCTCATCGTCTCTGTACCCTCCATGTGTGGCAGGCTTGCATCAGGACGCACTTGCTGAATGAGTGGATGATGGGAAGGTGGGAGAGTGGATGGGAGCTGAGTGAACAGATGGACAGGCAGGGAGGTTATGGGGGAAGTGTGGAGGAAAGAACAGATGGTTGGGTAGGCCCCTCAGCTCCCTGCATTCCCGCCTGCCCCCACTCACTGTGACAGTGGCCAGCAGCCCCTCAGGCACATAAGCCACCACGATGGCCATGAAAAAGACCATGGCCCGCAGGAAGGTGTAGCCAATGCACATGGCCACGATAAAAAACGTGGCACCGAAGAGAATGGCCAGGCCTGCGATGATGTCCACAAAATGCTCGATCTCGATAGCGATGGGCGTCTTCTCGTTTTCCACCCCCGACGCCAGTGACGCGATACGCCCAATGATGGTGCGGTCGCCTGTGTTCACCACCAGGCCCTGCGCGGTGCCTGCAGTGGGGCCAAGGAGTGACTCAGGCATAGGGGGCAGCAGTGGGGTGTGCACTGCCGTGTGAGCTGATGGACAGTCAGTCACCACCAGTGGAGGATGTGACCTGGGGAGAAGGGAGCGACAGTGGGAGACAGAGAAGCAGTGTGCCCCGGGGAGGTGGCAGTCATGCAGGGGAGAGACAGGGAGGCAGAAGCCCCCTGTCCTAGAAGGTAGAGGAGAAGGACCAGTGGAGGCAGCAGTTACTGGGCGGGCAGGCCCAGTGGACAGACCCTCAAGGCACATGGTGGAGAAGAAGGCGATGTTGCGGGTCTCCAAGGGACTCTCGTGCGTGCACTCGGGTGAGCGGGTCTGCGGCTCGGACTCCCCGGTCAGTGAGGAGTTGTCCACCTTGCAGCCCTGGGCCGCCAGGATGCGGATGTCGGCGGGCACTCTGTCCCCGCCTTTCATCTCCACCAGGTCGCCCACCACCAGCTGGTCGGCGTTGATCTGGAACTTGTCTCCATCGCGGATGACAGTGGCTTGCTGCGGGGCAGGGACGCCAAAGTTGAGGTGGACTTTGAGGGGGTGGGAGCTGCTGCATGTGGAGAGGTAGAGGATGGAGAGAACTGGGACCCATGGGGAAAGATGGAAGCCACGGATGAGGGGCAGGTTGAGCCTGATGGGAGGAGGCTACCCGAGCAGTCTGGAGTCTCTGGGATCTGGAGTGGCTGGGTGCTGGGGAACCCACCTGTGGCACAAGGTTCTTAAAGCTGGCGATGATATTGGTGCTCTTGAATTCCTGGTAGTAGCCAAAGCAGCCGGTGACGACAACCACAGCAATGAGAGCGATTGCCAGGTACAGCTGGGGACAGGGACAGGGCTGGGGTTATTCAGAGGGGCTGGAAGCTGCCTACCTGAGGCCACCCGCCTGCTCCCTGGGGCTCTGGTGTTCTTGGTTTTCCCCATGCTTTTCCCCGCCTACTAGGAAGCTCATGCACCATTCCCTGTAGCCTTTAGCCCCCTTCCCACGTCCCTCATACCCCACACTCGGCCTGCCCTGTCTTCTCAGTGTCTTGTGTTCCTGTCTATATTTCATATCCTCTGGCCCTGAATCCTCAATCTTCCGTGTCCCCATATCTGTGACTTGTGCCCCATATCGCTGTGTGCCTTGGTCTGACACATTCCCTTCTCCTGTGTCCCCAAGCCTTGCATTCCCCATGTCCACTGTCCCATGTCTCCTCCTGTCCCCATGGCCTGTATTCCCCGTGTCTCCAGTTTCACATCCTGGGTTTTCCATAATCTGCTGCCACCTTTGTGTCCCCTGGGCCCCCTTGTCCCTGCGTCTTCACATCCCCATCCCCGCATGTGCTGCAGACCTTGTATGTCATGGTTTGTGTCCTCCGTGGCCATGGCCCCCGTGTTCCAGCTCCCCAGTCACTGTGTCCTGTGTCTCCCATGTCTGCGTATCTCCAAGTGCCCATCCTGTGTCCCACAGCCATGACTTTTCGAGCCTCTGTCCGATGTCACATGTCCCTGAGTCCCCATGTCCCTTGCCCTGATCTCTGCCATATGTCCAATGTCCCTTGCCTTGCACCTCCATTTTCTCTCTGTCTCTGTGCTTCTATGTCTCATGTTTTGTGTTTCTCCATGTGCTGTGTCCTGAGGCTTGTATCCCTGCCGTGGTGTCCCATGTCTGAGTCCCAGGGTCTCCTGTTCTGCATGCCCCAGCCTGTCCTGTGTCTGCACTGCATGTCCTCTGCTTCCAAGTCCCATCTCTGTTTTATTTTTTTTAAGATGTAGTCTCACTCTGTCACCCAGGCTGGAGTGGCAGTGGCACGGTCTCGGCTCACTGCAACCTCCACCTCCCGGGTTCAAATGATTCTCCAAGGCCGGGAGTGGTGGCTCTAGCCTGTAATCCCAGCACTTTGGGAGGCCGAGACGGGCGGATCACGAGGTCAGGAGATCGAGACCATCCTGGCTAACCCGGTGAAACCCCATCTCTACTAAAAAATACAAAAAAGTAGCCGAGTGAGGTGGTGGGCGCCTGTAGTCCCAGCTACTCGGGAGGCTGAAGCAGGAGAATGGTGGGAACCCAGGAGGCGGAGCTTGCAGTGAGCTGAGATCCCGCCACTGCACTCCAGCCTGGGTGACAGAGCAAGACTCCATCTCAAAAAAAAAAAAAAAAAAAATGATTCTCCTGCCTCAGCCTCCCGAGTAACTGGGATTACAGGTGCCCGCCACCATGCCCGACTAATTTTTGTAATTTTAGTAGAGACGGGGTTTTGCCAGGTTGGCCAGGCTGGTCTCAAACTCCTGACCTCAGGTGATCTGCCTGCCTCAGCCTCCCAAAGTGCTGGGATTACAGGCGTGAACCATGCACCCGGCCTCCAAGCCCCATCTCTTACGTATTGCATTGCCATACTCTTTATGCCCCCACCTATGTCCCCATACCCGAGATTCACCCCAGTGTCCCTGTGTCCTTAGGTCTGCCCCATCCATATCCCAATGTCCTCCACCTGCCGTGACCCCTGTCTTGAGACTGCCTTTCATGTTCCTCTATCCCCATCCTCCTCTGCCCCTCTTGTCCCAAGTCCCATTCTCAGTGTACTGCATTCCCAGGTCCCCATGTCCCGAGCCTGCCCCCGCAACATGACTCACATTGTCGTCTGTGGTGAGGTCCCCCTCACTGGCCTGGATGGCAAAGGCGATGAGGCAGATGGCGGCAGCCACCCACATGAGGCACTGCAGGCCCCCAGCCAGCTGTCTTGCGAACTTGACATACTCTGGGGTGCCCCGTGGTGGCCGCAGCGCGTTGGGCCCGTCCCGCAGCAGCAGCTCGGCAGCCAGGCTCGCAGACAGGCCCTGGGACAGAGGGGTAGGGCGAGGCAGTGCTGGGGACTTTCCTCCACATGCACACCCTGAAGGAAGCCCCCTGCCTCGGTTTCACTTCCCCAGCTCGGTCTGTCCTGCTCCTTCTCATCTCTTTGTCTCTTGGTTCCAGCCCCGACCCCGTCTCTCCCTCCCTCCTTCATCTCTCCCTTTGTCTGTCTCTCCTCATTCACCTTTCTGTGTGTCTGTCTCCTGCTGCTCTCTCCGTATTTGTCTCTGCCTTTTCTGTGTTGCTCTCTTTTCATCTACTCCTCTCTCCATCTCTGTGTCTAACCCTTTCTCTCTAATGCTTTCTCCCTTCTCTCCCTCTCCCTCTCTTCCCTCTCTCCATCTCCCTCCCTGTCTCTTTCCTTCTCTCCCTCTCTCCCTCTTTCTCCCCTCTCCATCTCCTTCCCTCTCTCCTTCCCTCCCTCCCTCCTTCCCTCTCTCCCTCTCTCCATATCTTCCTCTCTCCATCTCTCCCTTTCCCTCTCCCTCTATCTCTCCCTCTCTCCCTCTCTCTCTTTCCCTCTCCCTCTCCCCCTCCCTCTCTCCATCTCTCTCTTTCCCTCTCCCCCCTCCCTCTCTCCATCTCTCCATATCTTCCTCTCTTCATCTCTCCCTTTCCCTCTCTCCCTCTTTCCATCTCCCTCTCTCTCTCCCTCTCTCCATCTCCCTCCTTCCATCTCCCTCTCCCTCCCTCTCTCCCCCTCCCCTCTCTGTACCCTCCCAGTCTCCAGCTCACCTTGGTGGCACTGGTCTGGTATTTCTGTTCCAGCTCCGCCACTGACAGCTGGTGGTCATTCTGTGTGGTGGGGTGGGGCAGGATGCTTGTTCTGGGCTCTCCTGGCCCCCTCCCCACCCACTTGCCTGGTTACCAGCCCACCCTCCAGCTCCCGCCCCTCCCCAGCCAGAGCTCACAATCTCCATCTCCTTCTTCATGTTCTCCAGCTTCTCCTTCCTCTTGCCACCCCCGCCGCCCGCCTTCTTCTTCTTGCTCATCTTGGCAGCCATGTCCCCGCCAGGGCCAGGACCCAGCTCCACCGAGTAGAGCTCGTAGTTCTCCTGGGGATGGATGGGATGGAGGGAGGGAGGCCTCAGATTCCACTGCAACCCCTGTCCCCACCACACCCCGGACCCCTGGGCCCCACTCACGGCCTTCCCCATGGTGCCCGGTGCCTGTGCTCCCACCCGACAGAGCCTGGGCCTGGTCCAGTCCTGATATATCCAGGGAGGGCGGGGGGGTGGAGCAGAACCGCCCGACCACAGCTGATTACAGGGCTCCTTGGGGTGACCTCTAGGCCTGGGTGCCTCAGGCATTCCCTCCTGGGCTGCTCCCCCTGCCCAGATCCCCCCATGTCAACCTGCCCTGAGATCAGGGAGCCCCTGGGAACAACCTCAGCAACAAGAAGAGCAAACACAAGGTTTGTTCCTATGGGCATTGTGCTGAGGGCTTCCGTGTGCTAACTTATTTAACCTTCCAATAACCCTTTGAGGCGACAAGACCCCTTACAGATGGGGAAACTGAGGCATGGAGGGGTTGAGTCACTCTCATATGGCTCCGTCACAGGCTAGGATGTAATGGAGTGAGAACCAGATCGGCTGGCTGCAGAGTGTCCTCTTTCAGTCTAAATAGCACATGCCTGAAGAGGCATGGAAGAGGAGGGTGCTCCCACACTTTTTTTTTTTTTTGAGATTGAGTCACCCAGGCTGGAGTGCAATGGTGCACTCTCGGCTCACTGCAACCTCTGCCTCCTGGGTTCAAGCGATTCTCCTGCCTCAGCCTCCTGAGTAGCTGGGATTACAGGCACGCACCACCACACCTGGCTAATTTTTGTACTTTTAGTAGAGACGGGGTTTCACCATGTTGGCCAGGCTGGTCTCAAACTCCTGACCTCAGGTGAACCACCCGCCTTAGCCTCCCAAAGTGCTGGAATTACAGGCAGAAGCCACCACACCCTACAGTGCTTACAACACTCTCTATGGTGGCTGAACGTTTACTGAACTCGGACTATTCACTGTGGGCTGGGTATGCTCTGTGTGTCACTCGAATGGTTTCCTTAGCATCTAACAGCAGCCCTGTAAAGCGATGTTCTCTTCTTAGCCCCCACCAGGGACTTTGCAGAAGATTTCAACATCTAAGAATTAGGGACAGGGTTCCAGCCCAGGCCTGACCCCAGAGCCTGGCTCTTGTATAGCACCACCAATGGAAAAACCCGAACTTCACCACAGCAGCACCATACACATGCCATGTTCTGCATGTGTGACCTCACGGGTCTTTGCAAAAAAACCCTGTGCAGGTGGCACTATCATTCCTGTTGTGCAGAGGGGGAAACTGAGGCTCAGAGGGACTCACATACCCAGCTAGAGCCTTTATAGCTCTCAAGCATTCCCTGTCCCTACCCCAGATGGGGAAACCAAGGTGCAACATGGGGAAAGGATGTGTCCGAGGGTCTTGACTTGAGCTTGGTGTTTGGTGACAGATGCCAGGAAGCCTGGGGACTCCCTCCTCATCCCTTAGGTAGGGACCTCCATGGGCAGCAGTGAGGGGCTGGGCCAGTGGAATGGTGGGGACCTTGGTATGTTAAGGGGTGGGCATGTCTCCAGGAGCAGGTGAGAGTGCACCTGATAAGATAACTGCGCTGGCAACGTCCTTCTCCGCTGGGGCAGGTCACCTGGGAAACTCAAAGCTGCTGGGCAGCCGGAGCTCCTCCCCGCACCCACATGGCTGGTCATCCCCAGCCTGCTAGAAGAAACCTCCAAAGAGGAGGTGGTGTGGGGCCGCACACTGTCTTTGCAGTGAATCTGCCCACTCACTGGGCACCCGTCAGCTCTGAGCCGTGTTAGACAGCTTGTGTCACCCCCTCTGCTTACAACCCCCCAAAGCCTTCCCTTCCCACTCAGAATAAACTCTGCATTCCTTCCTGCAAGATCTGGCCCTGGTCACCTGTCCTGCCTCCATTGCTACTAGGTTTCCAGGGGCACTGGCCTCGCTGCTGCACTTTGTACAGACCAAGGTCATTCCTGCTTCAGGACCTTAGCACTTACAGCTCCTTCTGCCTGGGCCCCCTTCCTTAGATGTCTGCACTGGCTTTCTCACCTCCTTCAGGTCTCAGCTCAAATGTCACCTCTTCAGAGAGTCCACTCTGTAATACTGCACCCTACTGTGTTCTGTTCCTTTACCCCACTGTATCTACACCTCTTACTCCAACCCGACACTGTATCTCCTTTTTATTTGTTTGGTGTTCATTAGAAGGAGGACTGGGCCAGGCACCATGGCTCACATTTGTAATCCTAGCACTCTGGAAGGCCGAGGCGGATGGATCACCTGAGGTCAGGAGTTTGAGACCAGCCTGGCCAACACGGTGAAACCCTGTCTCTACTAAAAATACAAAAATTAGCTGAGCATGGTGGTGCGCACCTGTAATCCCAGCTACTTGGGAGGCCGAGGCAGGAGAATCACTTGAACCTGGGAGGTGGAAGTTGCAGTGAGCCAAGATCGTGCCACTGCACTCCAGCCTAGGTGACAGAGTGAGACTGTCTCAAAAAAAAAAAAAAAGAATAGATAATAGATGTTAGACAAATAGATGGATACATAAATGATAAATGATAGATGACTGATAGATAGAATTGTTTTTTTGGTTGCTCACTGCAACCTCTGTCTCTTGGATTCAAGCGATTCTTGTGTCTCAGCCTCCCGAGCAGCTGGAATTACAGGCACCTGCCACCATGCCCGGCTAATTTCTGTATTTTTAGTAGAGATGGGGTTTCACCATGTTGGCCAGGCTGGTCTCGAACTCCTGGTCTCAAGTGATCCACCCGCCTCGGCCTCTCAAAGTGCTGGGATTACAGGCATGAGCCACCGTGCCTGGCCAGAATTCTTTAAATTTTTGGCTGAATCATTTGAGAGCAAGTTGAAGACAGGATCCCCTTTATCCATACTTAGGCATGTGTCTTGTATGAATAAGGACATTTTCTTACATAATCCCAGTCTAATGATCAATCTCAGGAAATTAACATTAATCAAACACTAGTAAATAATCTAGAGCAAGCTTGTCCAACCCATGGCCTGCGGGCCGCACGTGGCCCAGGACTGCTTTGAATGCTACCCAATACAAATTCGTAAACTTGCTTAAAACATTATGAGATTTGTTTGCGATTTTTTTTTTTTTTTTTTTTTTTAGCTCATCAGCTAGCGATAGTGTTAATGTATTTTATGTGTGACCCAGGACAATTCTTTTCCAATGTGGCCCAGGGAAGCCAAAAGATTGAACACCTGTGATTTAGAGGATTTATTTGAATTTCCCCAGTTTTCCCACTAATGTCCTTTTCCTAGTGCGTGATCCAGTCCGGGACCACACCTCACATTCTGTTGCTGTGTCTCCTTGGCTTCCTCCATTGCGTGACGGTTCCTCCGTCTTTCCTTATCTTTCATGACCTTGGCGTTTTGGAAGAGTATGAGTCAGTGATTTTGTAGACTTCGCTTGGTGTGGGTTTGCTGCTGGTTCTTCGTGATTAGGTTCGGGTTGTGTGCTTTTGGCAGGAACACAGAAGGGATGTGTGTCCCCCCAACCTCCCGCCCCAGAACATCACCGTGTCAGGCCATGCCCCATTTTTGAGTCTGTAACTTGTCTAGAGCAGGGTGGACATGGTGGGGAGGGGTCTCAAGAGCCTTAGGGAGTGATCAGGAAACCATTCTATGCCATCTTTACTTTCTACTCAAAACAGTGCCACAGCCAGGGCTGGCACCCAGCTGCCCTGGTGGTTAAAGTAATTGAAATACAACCATTGCCTGAGCCCCCAGCACTTCCCCTAAGACTCCAGACCTCCCACACCCAACCCCTTAAAGTGGATGCCTGTGCCAGCCCCAAGGCCTTGTCCTTTTTTTTTTTTTTTTTTTTTTTTTTTTGAGACGGAGTCTTGGTCTGTCGCCCAGGCTGAAGTGGTGCGATCTTGGCTCACTGCAACCTGGGTTGCACCTCCTGGGTTCAAGCGATTCTCCTGCCTCAGCCTCCCAAGTAGCTGGGACTACAGGCGGGCACCACCACGCCCAGCTAATTTCTGTATTTTTAGTAGAGATGAGGTTTTGCATGTTGGTCAAGCTGGTCTCCAACTCCTTACCTCAAGTAATCCACCCGCCTCGGCCTCCCAAAATGCTGGGATAACAGGCATGAGCCACCACACCCAGCCACTTTTGTCCATTCTGACCGTCCCCTGCTCAGCTGGGTTCATGGGTAAATACTTTTACCTACTCCCTTGATTTTGTAGTCCTCAGATGGTACGCAAGTTCTGTGTTTTTGTGGGGAGGGTCTTTGCTTGTGCAACTTATTATTTCACCGTGTGTCTAAGCAATACTAACCCCTGTCTCTGGGAGGTGAACACAGAGGCCTTAGTCCACAGGCAGGATCTGGATAAGTTGGGAAGTGTTCCAAGTCTTTGGCACCCTGGAATGAAGCCTGGGTGGACCACACGATGCCATTTCAGGCAGGTGGACAGCCTCTAGCACAACTCAGGGGCAAAGAAACTTCTCACAAGAATGTTGCAAGCGTGACACGGTCCACAGTAGTGCAAGTTTCTCTGAGCCTGGGGCGCATAGAACACTGGAAACTTTTTTGAGAACAATTAGCGGTCAGAATTGAAAAAATTTTTCTTTTCTTGCGAAAGAGGGGGCAGAGGACAGACTATTAAATGGATGGTGGGCCAGGAGCGGTGGCTCATGCCTATAATCCCAGCACTGGGAGGCCGAGGCGGGCAGATCACTGGAGGTCAGGAGTTCAAGAGCAGCCTGGCCAGCATGGTGAAACCCTGTCTCTACTAAAAATACAAAAATTTGGCCGGGCGCAGTGGCTCATGCCTGTAATCCCAGCACTTTGGGAGGCCAAGGCGGGTGGATCACGAGGTCAGGAGTCCAGGACCAGCCTGAACAACAGGGTGAAACCCCGTCTCTACTAAAAAGACAAAAATCAGCTGGACATGGTGGCACATGCCTGTAATCCCAGCTACTCGGGAGGCTGAGGCAGGAGAATCGCTTGAACCCGGGAGGTGGAGATTGCAGTGAGCCAAGATTGCGCCATTGCACTCCAGTCTGGGCGACAGAGCAAGACTGTATCTCCAAAAACAAAAATTTGCCAAGTGAAAATACAAAAATTTGTGGGCGCCTGTAGTCGCAGCAACTGAGGAGGCTGAGACAGGAGAAGCTCTTGAATCCAGGAGGCAGAGGTTACAGTGAACCAAGATCACACCGCTGCACTCCAGCCTGGGTGACAGAACGAAACTCCGTCTAAAAAAAAAAAAAGGTGGATGGTGAACATTACATGGGTTTGAAGGGGAATTTGAACAATAGCGTCCTAGAATTGCGGCCATACACACTCTTAGGGACCCAGCACCCTGTAAACCTTGATGAAATCAGACCCCTGGCTAATCCTCTTCCTTCCCATGTTCCACTTTTCCCTTTCAGGCTTTGGGATCCTGCCCGCCCAGGCCTTCTGCTTTTCCAAGCGATCATTTCAAAACCTCGGCACATGCAATTTCCTCTACCTGAAGCGTGCACCCTACCTCCTCCCCATGTTCAACCCCTCCTCACCTTTCCTGTTAAGCACAGACGATCCTTCCTCCAGGAAGCCTTGGACATCCCACCAGGCTGGGTCAGGCACCTCCCTGGGCTTCCACCGACCCCTGGGCCTCCCCATCACAGCCCCTACCTCCCTGCCTGTGCTTCCCCCATCCCAGTCCTGACAAGTCTGACCCCATAATTCCTCCATCACAGCCCTGACCACTCTGGGCTGTCATGTTTTGGTGACATTTCATCTCCCCCTCCAGATCCATGAGGGCAGGGCCCAGGATGTCTGTCACTACTGTGTGCCCTGCATTGCCCGGCCCGAGCTGGCCTCGGGGAGTGTTTGCCGAGTGACAGGAGTCACTGTGACCGTGACTTTGGGTACAGTGTTTGCGTCTCCCTGATAAGATAATGGGCCCAGCAATGCCTTTCACCTCCTGAGCAGGTCACCCCACCCTTTCAACCCTGGGGGGATGAAAGCGAGGGGCTGGGCATGCAGGGACCTTGCTTCTCCCTCCTCTCCAGGCCAGGTGCAGGGGCAGATGGTCAGAATTGAAAAAATTGTCAAGGAGTCAAGGAGTTGGCCCCCAGCCCAGCTAAGCTGGCAGCCAGGCCCCTGCATTCTGTTCCTCTCCCATCTTTGTGCAGATTGGAAAGGTCAGCCGTCCTGGGCTAGATGCAGAGCCCTTCACTTCTTCAGGAAATTTCCAGGCCGTCCTCACTCTGGGATCTTAAAAAATCATATTCAGGGCCGGGCGCAGTAGCTCACACCTGTAATCCCAGCACTTTGGGAGGCTGAGGAGGGCAGATCACCTGAGGTCAGGAGTTCGAGACTAGCCTGGCCAACATGGTGAAACCTTGTCTCTACTAAAAATACAAAAATTAGCCAGGCATGGTGGCACATACCTGTAGTAGTCCCAGCTACTCGGGAGGCTGAGACAGGAGAATCACTGGAACCTGGGAGGCGGAGGTGGCAGTGAGCCGAGATTGTGCCACTGCACTCCAGCCTGGGCGACAGAGTGAGACTCCAGCTCAAAAAAAAAAAAAAAAAAGTACTGGTGGAGAGACTTCCTCCATGGGACGGGGCAAGGGCAGGGTGCTGATGTCCAAATCCAAGCTCAGAAGTTCCCAGGGGAGCAAGGAGGCCTTGTGGTGCCTGGAACTGTGAAGGGTACAGGGCAATTACAAGACGGCTTCTGGCTCATGGGTCTCCTGCTTCTGGGCTGTCTGCTGTCACAAGAACCTGCAGGATCATTAACAAGCTCAGAATGATGGCCCTGATGCTGAAGCCCAAAGCCAGCTTGCAATTTCTCTTTGTACTGACGTTGTTTTCCAAACGGCTCACTATCCGTGCCTATGGAAATGAAGACAGGCTGATGGGGGTGAAATTTTCTAAGAAGGGGTGAAATTGCCGAAGGGCCACCTGGAGTGAAACTGAAGGCCATGATCAGGGTTGGGGGAGGGAGGATTCGGCAGAGGAGAGGAGGAGGAAATGCAGGAAGACAGTGCGGGGGTGTCCTGGGCACGCCCAGGTAGGAGGGCATGCTGGGAGACCTTGGGAAGAAGTGGGGTTGGCAGGACTGTGAACAAAGTGAGGACAAGTCCCAGGGCAGTAGGAAGGGTGGGATGGAGAAGGGGTTGGGGCTGGCAACTAGAGAAGAGGGGAAGCTTCTGAGGCACCCGTGGAAAGGGGTACAAGATGGGGCGGGGGATGTTTCACTGTGGGGGACGGAGGGTCAGTCCCCACCCACCAAGCAGGATGACACAGTGGCAATTCCCAGCAGGAAGAAACAAAAGACGAAAAAGATGCAGAGACGCAGGCAGTCATTCACAGGAACACTTAAGGGCATCTTGTAGATGGTCGTCTCCATGACCTTGACCTCTGGGCTCCAGAGATCAGTCACACAGGCATGAACCCCAGTGGAGGGAGGGGCGGGGTCTGCAGAAGGACTGAGAAGGATCGGCAGACGCCAAGGAATGGGGATCGATAGAATCAACCCCATCAATAGGAATGTGCTGGGAACACTCAACCCACAGTGAACTTGGCCTTTCTTGTAGGAAAATAACTCTGCAATGCCCCCACTGACCCCATAATACCCTTGCTGGCCCTATAACACCCTCAAAGTATCCTGTTGGCTGCTTTTTTTTTTTTTTTTTTTTTTTTTTTTTTTGAGACAGAGTCTTGCTCTGTCACCCAGGCTGGAGTGCAGTGGTGTGATCTCAGCTCACAGCAGCCTCCCAGGTTGGGATCCTCCCACCTTAGCCTCTTGAGTAGCTGGGACCACAGGCCTGCACCACCATGCCCAGCTAATTTTTGTATTTTTAGTAGAGACAGGGTTTCACTATGTTGGCTAGGCTGGTCTCAAACTCCTGACCTCAAGTAATTCACCCGCCTTGGTTTCCCGAAGTGCTGGGATTACAGGCGTGAGCCACCGCACACAACCCCTGTTGTCTTCTGTCTCCCTAAACCATCCCTGTTCTCCAGTAAGCACTACCTCTTGGTTTGCCGGTGCTTCCAGTTAGGTCTGGTCCTAGCAAGTTCTTCAGAACTCCCCTTTCAGTCTGAAAAATGCTCAGTTTGGATTTTAAATCCAGTCACTCAATGGGGATAAGTTCTGAGAAATCCAGTCACTCAATGGGGATAAGTTCTGAGAAATGCGCCGGGCGCGGTGGCTCAAGCCTGTAATCCCAGCACTTTGGGAGGCCGAGACGGGCGGATCACGAGGTCAGGAGATCGAGACCATCCTGGCTAACACGGTGAAACCCCGTCTCTACTAAAAAATACAAAAAACTAGCCGGGCGAGGTGGCGGGCGCCTGTAGTCCCAGCTACTCAGGAGGCTGAGGCAGGAGAATGGCGTGAACCCGGGAGGCGGAGCTTGCAGTGAGCTGAGATCCGGCCACTGCACTCCAGCCTGGGCGACAGAGCAAGACTCCGTCTCAAAAAAAAAAAAAAAAAAAAAAAAAAGTTCTGAGAAATGCATTGTTAGGTGATGTCATCATTGTTTGAACATCATAGCATGTACTTACACAAACCTAAATGGACAGCCTACTGCACACCTAGGCTATATGGTATGGCCTATTGCTCCCAGGCTACAAACCTACACAGCATCTTACTGTACTGAATACTGTAGGCAATTTTTAACACAATGGTAAGTATTTGTATGTCTAAACATATCTGAACATGGAAAAGGTACAGTAAAAATACAGTATAAAAGATCAAAGTGGTACACATCTGATATGATTTGGCCATGTCTCCACCCATATCTCATCTTATAGTTCCCACAATTCCCATGTGTTGTGGGAGAGACCCAGTGGGAAGTAATTGAATCATGGGAGCAGGTCTTTCCCATGCTGTTCTGTGATAGTGAATAAGTCTCACAAGATCTGATGGTTTAATAAAGAGGAGTTCCCCGGCACACATTCTCCCTTCTCTGCCACCATGTAAGACGTGCCTTTGACCTTCCACCATGATTGTGAGGCCTCTCCAGCCACATGGAACTGGGAGTCTATTAAACCTCTTCTTCTCTATAAATTACCCAGTCTTGGGTATGTCTTTATCAGCAGTGGGAAAATGGACTAATACAACATCTGTACAGGGCACTTACGATGAACGGAGCTTGCAGGACTGCAAGTTGCTCTGATGAGTCACTGAGTGAGGGGTGAGTGAATGTGAAGTCCTAGGCCATTACTGCACACCACCATAGACTTTACAAACACTATACTTAGCCTACACTAAATTTATAAACATTTTTCTTTCTGCAATAATAAATTGACCTTAGCTTACAATAATTTAACTTCTTTTTTTTTTTTTTTTTTTTGAGACAGAGGTTTGCTCTTGTCACCCAGGCTGGAGTGCAGTGGCAGGATCTCAGCTCACTGCAACCTCTGCCTCCCACCGCATCCGGCCTGATGCTCCTATTTCATTCTGTTTTTTCACCACCTAGAACTGTGCTTTCCAGTATAGTAGCCAGTAATACATGTGGCAAATTAAATTCAACTATAATTAAACAAAAAAAATAGGTTGAGTTCTTCAGGTGCACTAGCCACATTTCAAGAGCCAATAGCCATGTTTGGCTGGTGGCCACCATATTGGACCAAGTAGATTATAGAAATTTCTATCATTGAAAAAAAGTCCTGTTAGACAGCACTGACCTAGAATTATCTTGTTGCTTTATATTTTACTCTTTTATTCTTTTTTTCCTGTGTCCTCTCAATATAATGTAAATTTTATGGAGGCAAATACCTCATCTGCCTGAATCAGCGCTGAACCACTAAGGCTTAAAACAGTGCCCGGCACTGTTACCCAATAAATGTTCATTATATATATGAGAGTCCCGTGGTACCTGGCAATGTGGACACACAGGAGATGTGAACATGTGGGCACACGTACATGCATGCAGCAGATGAATCAGAAAGTGGAAACCTCCTCATAAACTTTACTGCTCTTAAAAATGCTGATGGAGGGGGACTTCCTCCAGCACAGGCAGTTACTGATGTCCTAGTTCCAGGGGGAACAGTCCATTAGTCACTGAGGGAGGCAGGTTTTCATATTTTCTGTTTCAAGCTTTTGATTACAATGGAGCAAATGATCACAATGCAGCCCACCAGGATGCTGGCAATGCTGAAGCCCAAAATCAGTCTGGAATTGATCCGTGCTTTTCTCTGATTCCCAAGGAAGTTGGCTTCCCGGGTCTGTGGGGGTAAAGACAAGCCGGTGTGAATATTTCCAAGACGGGCGGGGGAGGAAAATCCCTGGGGAGAGGCGAAGAGGGGAAGATCAGGGTGGTGGCTTGAGGGAGGGCAGGGGGGGCAGGGCTCAGTCTACCAGGGGAAAAAGGAAGAAACCAGGGTGCTAGGATGAGGGAGTAGATCTGGGCAGAACCCAGAGGGAGGAGCAGAGAGGTGGCCCTAGAGAGGGGCAAGGGCACGCAGATGGTGAAGAGGGAGGAGGCAAATCCCCAAGAAACACCCTGGGGAGAAGAGGTCCCTGGGGAGAAGAGGTCCCTGGGGAGAAGCAGGGCATCGGCAGGAAAGAGAAGGCAGATCTGGGGACAAAGAGAGTTTGTGGTAGCTGGGTGGTGCCCACCTTGAGGGAGAACACCAGAGCGGGGATTGCCAGCAGGATGCAGAAGAAGGATATGATGGCGAGCAGCAAATAATCTATTTCTGGAGGACGCAAGGGCATCAGGGTGACTGGTTGCATTGGGGTGAACAGCTGCACTGGGATGAGTGGCTGCATTGGAGTGACCGGTGACTTCAAGTCCCTGGGGCTCGTTGCAGTAGCCATGGGTCTTGGCCTGAGGAGGAGATGCTGGGTGAGTGGAATCTGCAGACAGGGGTCATGGATCCGGGAAGGGGACATTTGAGTCCCCGAGCAATTGAGACCACCCAAACCAACTCCTCTGGCTAGAAAGGTGCTGAAAGTTGACACTGCCCCAAGCCAGGGGACAGCGCCCCAAGCCAGAACCCACCACAGTAGCCTTGCTGGCTCCGGAACACCCATGCCACCCTCCTCTAGCCTCTCACAACCCCCTCCCTGCTCCCCTCTGGCTGCTCCACTTTCCTCCTCTTTTTTTTTTTTTTGAGACGGAGTCTCGCTGTGTCGCCCAGGCTGGAGTGCAGTGGCCCGATCTCAGCTCATTGCAAGCTCCGCCTCCCGGGTTTTTACGCCATTCTCCTGCCTCAGCCTCCCGAGTAGCTGGGACTACAGGCGCCCACCACCTCGCCCGGCTAGTTTTTTGTATTTTTTAGTAGAGACGGGGTTTCACCGTGTTAGCCAGGATGGTCTCGAACTCCTGACCTCGTGATCCGCCCGTCTCGGCCTCCCAAAGTGCTGGGATTACAGGCTTGAGCCACCGCGCCCGGCCTCCACTTTCCTCCTCTAAACTCTCCCTACCCCTCCTCGCCCCTCAAACTCACACACCCCCACTGTTTTCTGATAACCCATCATAAACCTAAATGACCCTAGGGCTTCCCTTCACTGAGGCGGCTTTGGTGATTTCGGTCAAAGGGCGTGGCCTCTATGGGCCACTCTTTCATTATGATTGGCTACTTCTTTATAGGCGGGTCTCCAGTGCTTCAATCTGGCTTCTGATTGGTTCCATGTGTGTAAAGGGGCGTGGCCCAGCCACTTCCTTTCTTCCTGCCCTTGGGATTGATTCAACGCATAAAGGGACTGGGTTGTAGAAACTTGTCCTTTTTATATTTTTTTCTCGCTGTTTCCTTTTTTTCTTTTTTCCCTTAGAAACAGGGTCTCACTCTGTCATCCAGGTTGAAATGCAGTGGTGCAATCATAGCTCACTGCAGCCTCAACTTCCTGGGCTCAAATGATCCTCCTGCCTCAGTAACTAGGACCACAGGCATGCGCCACCACACCAGGATAATTTTTTTTTTTTTTTTTTTTTTTTGGTAGAGGTCTCACTATGTTGCCCAGTCTGGTCTTGAACTCGTGGCCTCAAGCAATCCTCCTGCCTCGGCCTCCCAAAACGTTGGGATTACAGGCTTGCATCACTGTGCCCGGTCACTCCTTTTTGTTGTTGTTGCCAGTTTGAACGCCTGATGGGTTTAATATATAGTGTGTGGATCTCACATCCAGATTGAATATAAGTGTAATGGGCAGATTTATCACTATTAGGAGGTTACTGTACATTAGGCCCAGGCTGGCCCCTGAGGGCCACGTGGTAACTAAGGGAGACAAGACCATAGCTATCCTGGAATTCTAGGGAGAGAAAGAAGAAAAACACCTAAATAATGGAAATAATAATTATCATATGATTATAATTATATTTAATACATATTAATAATTATTATTATTGAGACAGGGTCTCGCTCTTTCACCCAGGCTGGAGTGCAGTGGCATGATCTTGGCCCACTGCAGCCTCCACCTCCCGGGCTCAAGTGATCCTGCCTCAGCCTCCCAAGTAGCTGGGACCCCAGGTGCACACCACCACACCCAGCTAGTTTTCGTATTTTTTGTAGAGACAGGGTTATAATAGAAATTATTTCAGTACCAAGAGCTATGGAGGAAATAACTAAAATGAGGAGGGGAGAGGGACTCTGGAAGATCACAAGGAACTGGAGGACGAGGCTGAGTAGACAGGAAAGGCCCCTCTGAAAAGAGAACATCTGAGCTGAGACTTGAAGTACAAGGGGAGCCAGCCACCAGGGGAAACATGGTGAAACCTTGTCTCTACTAAAAACACAATAAATTAGGTAGGTGTGGTGGCATGCACCTGTAATCCCAGTTACTCGGGAGGCTGAGGCAGGAGAATCTCTTGAACCTGGGAGGCGGAGGTTGCAGTGAGCCAAGATTGTGCCACTGCACTCCAGCCTGGGCGACAAATTTTAAAATAAATAAATAAATAAAGGGGAATATCACGAGCAACGTATGGCAACAAATTGGACAGCTTAGATGACATAAAAATTCTTAGAAAGATGAATTACCAAAACCAACTCAAGAAGAAACAGAAAATCTGAGGAGATATATAACAAAAAGAGATTTGTAATTTAAAATACTCCCACAAAGAAAAGCTCAAGCCTAGATGGATTCATTGGTGCATTTCACAAAACATTAAAGCATAAGTAATATTAATTCTTCACAATCTGTTCCAAAATATGGAGAAAGGGAGCACTTCCCAGCTTATTATATGAGGTGAGTATTACCCTAATATCAAAACCAGACAGTAGCATCTCAAGACAACTAGAGTACAATCTCTTTCATAAATATAGATACAAAAGTCATTAGTAAAATATCAGTAAGCCCAATACAGCAATATATAAAAAGGATTATACATCAAGATCAAGTGAGATTTACCCCAGAAATGCAAGATTGGTTTAAGTTCTGAAAATCAATTAATGTAACACACCATAGTAAAAGAATAAATTTTATTCATTTATTTTAAAGATGGGGTCTCACTCTGTCACCCAGGTGAGATCATAGCTCACTGCAGCCTCA